GGCTTATAGATAATGAGTCGCATTGCTAGTGTCGTTGTTATTGAAGCGTTGTTACTCAAATAGTTCTTGGATCGTCGTTGGTGTCGTGTTGAGTCTTCATTACTGGAATCACGGTGTTGAAGTCGTGTCGTTCTTAAATTATCATTGGAGCCTTTCGGAGTCGCCATTATTGGAGCCGTTGTTACTGGAGTTGGAATGGAGTCATGTTACTGGAGTGCTGTTAGTGGAATGGAGTCGCATTACTGGAGTACTGTTAGTGGAATGGAGTCGCATTACTAGAGTCATTGTTAGTAAAATTAAGTCGTGTTTACTGTTTTTGGCTGTAGTATTGCCGTTACAAGAGTTGTTACTGGTGGTTTTTCTTGTCTATAGCATGATTAACTGATTTTTTTTTTTAGGTAGCTAGTCGTCGTTTATGGAACTGTCGGTTCTGGTATTTCGCTTGTTGATCCTTGTTGGTCTGATTTGTCGATTTGTGGTGTTGGTATCCGTGGCATCTTCTTTATATCCTTCTACTGAAATGCTATTTTGTTTTGAGTTTATTATAGATGGAAATATTTTTTAATTAATTTCTGTATAAAATTTCAAGTGATTAAAAAGTTCAATATTATAAATATTATTTATAATATTTTTATAGGAATGTAATTGTGATCTTGCTAGTGGTAGCAACATTCCACAAACACGTTCAATTAGAAACTGCTATGTTATGCAGCATGGACCATTTCTTTGAATACTTAAAGATATATAAAGTATATAATATATACATATTTTCATTAAGCTAATATGCTCAATTGAATTTTTATAATAAAATCTAATAATATAAAAAATATAAGAAAAATAATAATATAATAAATAATAAAAATAAATATTACTATTTATAATGTTCATAAAATTTTAATAAAAGATCATTAATATTGTTTAAATCATTTGCTATTATAATTTTTTTTATATGACTGTACTGCTTTAACAAAGAGACTCCATCTATTATAGTACTCTGATTGCAGTTTTTCTTTGAGTAAATATAGTAAGTATATTGTAATCCATGTAGCCTATTTCTCAGCTTTATATCTATGATGGTATAATATTATATTACATAAAGGCCTTCCAAGATTTGATAGTAAATCCTTGTGTAATTCATGTATTTTTTTTTCAATATTCACCCAAGTTGATTTAGCTAGCACATATAGCTCTCTGTTTTGTAATTCATTAGAAAAAAAATTTCCAGTCCAATGTTCAAACATATATTTAACAATGTTTTCATAAAATAGATGTATGATATCTATAGTAAAAGAGTTAGGAAAATAAATCATTTGCAAATCAAATAGAATGCTACATTTAGTAATTTTTATACAAATAATTATTAGTATTTATATATCAATATTTAATATAGTAAAAATATTACTTTTAAAAAAATTACTACATATTACCACTGGTGATCATCACTAGTTCTAAGATTAGTTAGAGTTAGAGTTAGAAATTAAAAAATTATTGTTTTTTTATATAATATATATAACTACTAT